TTTTAGGTATAAAGTATTTTTATTGATATATAAAATATATATATACTAAAAATGCTGCCAGCAGAGAGAATATTCAATCTTCCAACAAGAATCATATTTTTAAACTTTACAATTATTGCGCGAGTGATTATTAGCCATTAATATTTATAAGAGAAACTCTTCAAATGTGTTTAGTGACTATTAAAAGATTAAATGTAAAATGTATCACAAATTTTACTATAAAGAAAAATTGGCAAATTATATTCTAGAATAATTTAAAATAAATCTGCACTAAAAATACAATATATTACTATTTAGAACAACAAAGATTTAATCTTAATAGTCACACACACACACATTTTAGGAATTTTTTTTCTGTAGTCATTAGTTAAATGTGAGATACATATCAATTATTAGTACATCATCAGTAAAACGAGTTTTCCTGGTCATTTAATCCAGTTTAAAGATTTGATCTGCACATTTAAACTAAATATGACTGCCAAGTTCTAAATTCTATTGAAATATAAATAGTAGATTCCATAAGGCACACATTTTTATATTTAATCATCTTAAAATTTTATATGCTGCAAATATACGTTTTTTGTGTTTATTACATTGAAACTTAGAATTCAGCAATCCAGAATATAACTTATATGCTAAGATTATTATATATTCACATTTCATATTATATATAGTTGCATGTGCATCTTTCATGTGACTCTTGTTAGATGAAATGAACTTTAACAGTTACATTTGGTATTAAATGTGCTACAGAAATTAAACAATGAACTTTAGGATTGTTTAGATTCGACTGAATTGTAACTAAAATATTTCAGAGTTTTGATGTTGTGTGAAGTTGATTTAAAGTTCCTGTGTTATTAGTAATTAAATTTATATAGAATATTTAAATACTTTTCAAACGTGGATATCAGACAATATAAAAACATGCTGCCAGCAAATATTATGCAAGTACTTATTAAGATTTAGTGTTCTTCAATTTTTTTTTAAAGAATTGATGAAGTATGTGTCGCTCTCTTTTCTATCGCGCATACTGTTCGTGTTCATTGCAGTAGCTGTCGCGAAATATCAAACAGCTATTAAATCTGCGCCTATAGATAACTTCCAGAATTATCTTATAAAATTCGACTCGGAGACAGTGTGAAACAGAGTAAAATAGCGTGGCAAACAAATTAGATACAAGAAAGGATAAAAGTATTCTAATTTATTTTAGCTCGTAAAAGTTAAGTTTTTGATCCCAAACTTTTGGAATAAATAGGCTCTTATAGACTCACATAGCAAGTTTCTGTCTACAACTTTGAAACGCAGCCTGATATAAAAGTATTAGAATGTTTCTTTTTTGTGAAATGTTTTCCTTTGTTCCTCTTACGAATTATTTTTCTAATTAATTCCTCACAGATTTCCGGAAATGTAATTATATACTAGATTCCTATTAATAATATAAATTTTTTTTAAATTATTTTAAGTTACATCTAATATGATATTAATAACGTTTTCTAAAGGATAATATTATATTGGTTTAAGAGTTTGATCTTATAACTCATTAATTGAGGCAACAGTATATTGGAGGCATTATAAATAATAGTTTGGATAAATAATCTTGAAAAATCTATTTGCTATGTGACATAATAATGATAAGAAAAATGATAGAAAAAAAAAAACGAAGAATACAATGTGGATGATTTATAATTGTAACATTAGAGGAGACAAGGAACATTCTATAATTTATACATAAATACACATACAAATAACTGTTCTCTTACGTATTCTTGCGATTTTCTAAATATATATTCATTTGTAATGAATGTCTCTTCTGTATAATCGGATATTAAATAAATATAATACACACAAGAGGGAAACACTGTTTATATATATTTTCAATGCAGTTTAATTTAAAATTAAAAAATATATATACATTGTATATACATGTATATATATTTATATATATTATGTGTATATATATATATATATATTTCTTTTTCTATGATAAGCCGTGATTATCTATTGAAAGAAAATAATTTTTACATTTTTCGGTAATAAATATTAAAATGTTTTTCAAATTATTTCTTTATTCAAATCAGTTTCTAAATTATTATTTAAATCCTCATTTAATTATCTTTCATTTTATTTTTCCCCATTATCACTTGACGCTTTGTCATCATCGACCTCTTTATTTTTATTTGGATCGTCTGGCTTCATTTGAGGGAAAAGCAATACTTCCTGTAATAAGGACATCATGTATCTTCTAGCGAGAGACAATGTAATAAAGTCTCATAATTTTTTCTCAAACAATTTCAATTATAAAAAAAGATAAATTAATTTTAAAATTCCGATTTTTTTTTTTTTGCTTATTTTATGAAATATAATATATATTTTTAAGGGGGAAAATCAGTGTAACGATTAAAAAAAGGCCATTTTTAAGCATTTCTTTTCTGGTAAATATTTTTTTGTTTTTTAAATCACTTTATTAATATCATAAAGTACATAATTTAAACTACTCGTTGTGAAATTTTCGTTAAAAAATATTAATATTTATAGCTACGATAGCTAATAGTGAGCTGCCTTAAGAAAAAAGGTCGCATGCGTAGCGGACCAATGAAAGCTCTAAAACAAAAAAACAAGTATTTTCTTAATACATGAGACAATAGCTTCAGTTGCACGTATGGAATTTTCGATTGAATAATTTGTTTTTTTGTAACGTTAAAAAACGGGTCAACTGTTCACTGATTTTGGAACTTTTTTTTTTCAAAAGTCCGCCATTTTGTACCTAACAAATTATTTTTTTTTTAAATCCGTACGTGCAATTGAAGCTATTGTCTTATATTTTAAGGAAACACTTGTTTTTTTGTTTCAGAGCTTCCATTGACCCGCTACGCATGCGTCCGTTTTTTTAAAGGCGGCTCACACTATTGATTATTGTAGCTATAAATATTAATATTTTGTAACGATAATTTCACAAAAAGTAGTGCAAATTATGTATTTTGTGATGTTAATAAAGTAATTTAAAAAAAAAAACCAATTATTTACCAGAAAAAGAAAATGCTTAAAAACGGCCTTTTTTTAGCTGTTACACTGGTTTCCCCCTTTAATAAATCGCAACCACTCACTTTAATATTGTTAGTGTCGGTGAGGAACATTGTTAATCGATCGATACCCATTCCCCAACCTGCTGTTGGCGGCAAACCATATTCCAAAGCGGTACAGAAATTCTCATCGATCAATTGCGCCTCTTCATCACCGGCCGCTTTATCCATCGCCTGTTGCTCGAATCTATGCATGCATTTAAAGTATTTAAAATTTGCGAAAATATGGTCTTAATCTACTAAAAATATTTTTACGATATAAATTTTAATAAAAATTAATTTATTACCTTTCTCTTTGAATGAATGGATCATTCAGTTCGGTGTACGCGTTGCAAATCTCTTTCTTTGCAACGAATAGTTCGAATCGTTCTGTGAGACCTTTCTCGAATCGATGCCATTTCGCTAAAGGAGACATCACTTGCGGATGATCAATGATGAATGTAGGATTAACAATGGAATCTTCAATAAATAATCCAACGAGCTATTGTAAAAAAAATATATAAAATATAACTAGGATCTATATATGTATATTATCGCAAGTAATTGAATTACATTTATTAGCATTTCATGTTTCTATAATTTGTTCTTATTTTATAGAATGGCACCTACCAAAATGAAAAGTGTCAAGTTGAAAGTTGACGCTTTGTTAATTTTCACCTAAATTCTTACCTTGTCTAATAACCTCGCTGATGTTCTAGGAGGAGGACACTCGATGTTATGGTGGTCACAGAGATCGCTGAAAATTTTGTTTGCCTCCGGTGTGTTAAGCTGATCGGCTGCTGGCAACTTGACATTGAGAACCTTCTCCAATTCCTTCATCATTGAGATACGCTTGAAGGGGGGCGTAAAGTCGATCTCGTCTGGTTCGCTATCCGGTCCATTGGAATGGTACTCGATCCTATAAGTTCCATGTATTGCCTTCACCATGCTGGACAGCATGTTCTCCGTGATCTTCATGAGATCGTTATAGTCCGCGTACGCCATATAAAATTCGCAGGTAGTAAATTCAGGATTGTGGGTTAAGTCAATACCCTCATTCCTGAATTGCCTGCCGATCTCGTACACTCTGTCGATCCCACCGACGACTAACATCTATTAAACGTTCACGACTTTGATCACTGTCTCATTTTGTGTCTCGTTCTTTCTTTCGTTCTTGGAATAGATTTATTTCTTCAAATTTAATTTAAGAAAGGAGCAATTTATTTACCTTGAGATACAACTCTGGAGCAATTCTCATGTACAGATCCATGTTCAGTTCGTTATGGTGCGTAATGAAAGGTTTGGCAGTCGCGCCTCCGGGGATCATGTTCATCATAGGAGTCTCAACTTCTAGGAAGCCCATCTCGTCCAGAAATTTACGCATGTAAGCGATTATCCGCGCGCGTATGTGAAAGATTCGTCGAACTTTATCGTTCAATATAAGGTCCAAATATCGTTGTCGATATCTCGTTTCCTGATAGTGTGTACAAAGGCTCTCAGTGCATATAATTTTTACACACACAAATATATTTATATAATATATTTATATATTATTTCTATAACAGAACACATATTTTTTGATAGAGTTATTTCTTACCTTGTCCTTCAAACCAAAATGAAGATGCGGCAACATATGCAAACATGGACTCAAAAGAATAATAGAAATCGGTATAATTGAAAATTCGCCCGCTTTGCTCCTGGCGGGTGTGCCGACGATGCCTATAATGTCGCCTCTCTTGATTTTTGCTGTATCCCTCATAAAGTCATCCTCGCTTATATACAGTTTTGCATTGGCCAGTACTTGCAATTTGACACCCTCTCCTCGAAGGTCATAAAAGATCAGTTTAGAGCCGGCCTCTCGAATAGAATGGACACGCCCGGCGATAGTATGTATCTCGTTCTTTATCGCTTCACCATTCTTAAGGCGCCCGTTAAATTTGTCGATGAAATCCGTGAGAGAGATGGATACATCGAATTTATGAGGGTAAGGATGTTGATCGGCAGTTTTGAGTAGACTGACGATGTTCGATCGGAGCTTAAAATATTCCTAGAAATAATAAAAATACAGTTGCAACGAAGAAATTAATAGGCAGATTAATCGGATATAAGCTAAAGCAAAATACAATAAAAGAATTACTCAGTTTTACACCGCATAACACAGTCGAATCAAGAACTTGAAATGCTGAAACATGCTAAGAGACAAAAACCGAATCGCTGAATTGTATAAAAGAAAACGCACGTGATTGCTCGTAAAATAAAAAGATTTTTATTCTTCGCACAAGTTATATTTGTAAAGAAAGAAAATTTCTCAAGACGATACGGTGATATAAATTCACAATATATAAGTTTCCTAGCTTGCAAAGCTCTTTGATGTTTACATTTGGACTAATATCTTCCTCCTTGATTTTGTCCTTCTTAGAACTCGTTATTTGATTCTCATGGATAGCTGCTACAAGCGCCTTGGCCTCCTCCTTCTCAGCTTTCTCTTTGGCCTTTTGCTCAGCTTTGAGACGTCTTTTCAGTTCGCTGCAAACAATTAAAATAGCTTCAGCATCTCTCTCTTTCTCTGTAGAGATTTGACGCTGCACTTCAAACGATTCATTACGCACTCGGTGCCGAATCGACATAGAGACGTCTGACGCAACTTTTTCTCGCGGTTCGCAAGCCATGTTTGCGCTACAGGCTGCTTGAGAAGAACGACAGCGCGACTTCTGCCCAAGGTACCGAGCATGATGGTCTTTACCCCACGGGATCAGACTTTACCCACGTGACGCGTTCGCGTCAGAGTTTAGATTCGTCTAAGAGATATCGCTATCTGCGAAGAAACACGAACGAACAAATACAGGGAACAACCGGTACAAGGCAGGGGCCCCGGCCCACGGACCATGTCGAACGCGCAACGTGGGAGACAGCGTGGCGGGATGAACGGGTGAATCGTTCACGAGGTTATGTCACGCGCGCTGGAAGCGGATCATCGCCAACGCTCGCGCGATCATATGCTAAGCTACGGATTGAGATTTACGAACGATATAACGCACACTTTTTTTTTCTTTTACATACTCACTTTTTCGACAGCTTTCCCTCCGTTACGTCCGCCATGCTGGTGAAAATCCGCCGTGAGAGAGAGGTCGGTCGTCGGTCGTCGATCGCACGTCGCACGTCATACGTTGGTCAGACTGCGTATAAACGCGAACTGCGAACTGCACGTGAAACGCGTTCAAGCTCTCCTCGATTTATGTATCGAGGATTGAGGTGCGCTACGCTACGTCGTCGCGTCGTTTTCGCGGGCGATTATAAAACGGAGATCATCCGCGGAAAGTTGCGAGCGCTTTCGCCGTTCTTACGTAAACGGAGAGTACGGTGGATATGGATAAATGATTGAATAATAATCCGATTTCTTTCATGTTTCGAAAATATGTTTCTTCATTTTCAGACTAATCGCTCACGAGCGACATGTCATTTTTATTTACATAGATCAAAGACATCGATAATTTTATGTCTTTGTAAGTACATACGTTCGAATATCGGATTGAATACACGCTAATGATTTCTTATATTTGTCGCGAGAGAATAAAACGTGACGTTTAATTTATCATTTTCTGTATTTTTAAAATTTTTTAAAGGCCTTTCTCCCTTCTCTCCCTTTATATACGTTTCATATACAAAATTCAAGAATCGATACAATTATACGATCCGGATTGTCGCGAAAACGTTTGGAAAGAATATTCTCGAGGAAGAATCTCTCTTCTCTAAAAATAATCCATTTATTAAAATTTTATTTTTTCGTATACAACAAATAATCCTTTTATAAATTATACTCACCAGAACATTATACCTATATACCATCTTTATCTACTAAGAGATTATAATGTAAACGATTTGTATATATTAAAAAAACATTCTTAATTTTTTATATCTTACATAAAAAAATATATTTTATAAATTCACTTTTTTTCTCTGTCATAAAATTCGCTCGGGACAAACGGTTTTGTCTCCATTTTTACGTAAAGCACCAATGGTTTCAACATGTTAACATGGCGAATAAAAAACTAGTTGAAAAAATTCATTAACATAGATAAGAACGATAGATAAGACAGTTGAATTGCAACAGAACTCGCTCGCTGTCAAGTGCTTAGTCTCGTCGTCATTGATGCACTTGAAACATTAAATTCCTTCAAGCCCTGATCCGGGATTTAAATCGCAAGATGCCAGCCGACATGTACAAGATCACGCATTGCTTATTCGACATGGACCGTTTGTTGCTCGGTAAATAAATTTTGAAACAGAGCTACAGAAATGTTTTTAACTCGACTGTAAAGTTTATCTATCGCATTTCTTCTCTTTTTTTTTTTTGCTTCCCAAACATTATACGAGTGAAGCAACTTTGGTTCTGAATAATCTCGAGGACTTTCAACCGGAGAAGTTTGGGCTACCGCCATATGTGACATAATATATTTCCTTTTCCCGGTTTATCATGCGTACGTGTATGTATGTATGTGCGAGATATGGATTCGTGCAGATAGGATATATATATATAACGTTCGTACTATCTCGGAATACATAAGAATAAAGATAATTTAATAAAAAGGTTTCTTGTGCGCGCGGTTTTTTCGATTTGTATCTTAATTCTTTGTCTGTTTTTTTCTTTTTAAATCTCTTTATCCGTGTCGTCGGACAGATCGCCTAATTCGTCAAAATCTTCTCGCGATCCGATACCGTCGAACATTGCTGCACAGGAACTGGCGCCACTGAATATACCCGTGATATTTACGCACGAGAACTTGTTGCGTCTCAATTGTCTGTCGATCGCCTCTCTTAGCGTGTTGTACACAGCGATCATGTCTCGCGAACATTGGGACAACAAATCTGAAAGCAGATTGAGACTCATATTTTTCTAATTAGGTTTTTTCGGATATTCTAATATAACGTGTAACAAAAGAGGATCATTACGTTTGTAAACTGGTTGGCTAATGTCAAACATTTTGTGGTAGTAGTACAATTGATTGTAGAGATCTGTTCCGGAATACTAGAAATGTACAAGCGCATTATATGATTTTAGAATGAAAATGTCGTGTAATTTATTCGAATTTAAACTTACGACTTTGCTCATGGTAACATCTTTACACGCTGAACAATCCGGGAACTTTCTCGCGAAATCTAACGGCAATCTTCTTGTTCGGTTGGAACAAAGCGGATTCTCGCACTCCAACCAACCGTTATAGTACTTGCCGATCGCTTTCCTCATAGCAAGTTGAACTACATTCTGTATCACGTTTGCATATTTCCAGGGTGGTAATTTACAATCCTGATTGGGGCACATACTGAGCGACAATTGCCGACCGGAATGCTACGCAAAGATTAACAAACGCGTTATATTCTCAATATAATGCAAAAGCTGTCATAGACATATTATGCTAGTTTTTCACTGAAAAAAAGAATATTTGAAGTAATCTTGAAATTCTATCGAAGGAAAACAAGCGCTTACAAACTCTGTTACGGTATCTGTAATCACTATGTCCGTGTTGCATCGCTCATTTTTACATTTAAATGTCAAAGGAAGACAATTGTTGAACCTATCATCGTTGATAGCCAGTGGTAAGTTCAGGGTTGCTTCGCAAGCCAATGTTTTTGGCTTGTAAACGAATTGTAAACCTGGAGAGCAAAGAGATTGACACATAGAATATATATCATTTCTTTTAAAATTTATCTCATTTCTTTAGAGTTCACGATATAAGCTCAAAGTTACCTAAATTATTGGCCAAGAAGACGTCGTCGATGCCCTCGATCGGTTCACAGATTCGTAATATCACGGGAAATATTTGACTCAGCAAATAATAATTGACGTCCACTTTTAATTTCTCGTTATTCTTCACTTCGTCAATGTGATATGCTCGTTCCGTCGCACTCGCGTCGGTTCCATCCTAATGCGAAACAATAATAAATGATGTTGATTTCTTTCAGATATATTCGTTCATTGAACGATTATTTTCGAGTTTCTATAACTCGTCAGGAAACTTCGCAAATTAAGATTGCAAATTTGATGAGAACCTCGCATATAACATATGGTAGCGTATCGCCGGCTTTCCACATTCGACCACCCGCTTTATTTAACCTCAGCGCCACCATCACGTGAGACAATTGCTTTTTATCCGGATACGCGTCTGGATTTTTTGACAATTGTTTGGTGATGACAAATGCCGACAGCGGTGTCGTTCTCTCTCTCACGCCTTTTGCAACGTTCTGCAGAATCTGAACGACCTGTTCCAGACGCGTTTCGCTCGCCTGTTCGCAGAGAAGTATATCTAAAACTTTTCTAAGAGAGAGGAGAGGAATAATGTCACATTTAATATAATGAGGGAGTAAAATTGATTTCTGAAAATATTATGTTTACTTACTTTCCAGTATCACAGGCCAATGGACACCAATCTCTTCTCACGATATCCAGACCCTTGTGTTCCTGCGTTAATTGTATCTGACCATTTGGCAATTTCATCATAGCAACAGCAGCATATTTCTTCTTTTGTAAAAGCAACAGGTATCGGAATACTCCGTCTATATCTAATTCGACTTTTTTATATCGATTGTTGACTTCCCGCATAATCTAGAAAATGTTTAGTCCAGTATTACGCGCGGTCTTTGCTTCGCGTGACTTGGCGCGAGACATTATCGTGTCTCTTGATATATATGTATATAACATTTAATTCTCCAATATTATAAATTGATGATAAATTAATGAAAAAAAATTTCCCATACTTTTCTGCCAATCGAAAAAACGTCGTCGTATTCCAAAATGTTGGTGTTTATCATCAAGGAATCAGTGTCGCCATAAATCACCTCATACTGCAATTTTTCAACCAAGTGTTTCGTATCCTCCAGAATCTGTCGGCCTTTGGCTGAAAGCAACAGTGTATATACATATATCATACATTGTGACATTCTAAGTTTATTCCGCAACTTACCGGTTATTAGAGCGGCGAGGCCCTTTGCGTAAAATCGACAATGTGTCGCTCCCAGGCATCCATACATGGAATTGGCCGTAAGTTTCAATGCCATCTGCCTAATATGGTAATCCATTTTTTGTTCCGGCGGAAGATTCGGCGTTTTCATCAGTTGCTTGATCTGCTGCCTGCTCTTGACCAATTTATGAATCTCGGTTGGAATCACACCGGCTTCCAGATTCGACTCGGGAATACTCAATTGCTACGAATCATGCAAATCGTGTGTTCACTCAAGACAGTTTGACATATATCGACGTTCACGATGAAGAATTACCTCGATATCAGCGTATGCCGCACCAAACACCGTGGTGAAACACAAATTATACTCTTGTATAATACTCGGATACAGAGAATTGAAATCCATCAGCAGCACTAGCTTGTCGTAGAAACCTTTCTTCGGATCGAGCACCAGGCCTCCAGCGTACGCCGCAGCTTTCCTACGCGGACCATCTAATGCGTAATCTAGCATTAGTTATACATATAATCGCGTATAATAACGATGTACAAAAATATATCGACATCTCACCGTCATCTCGTCCCTTCTTCTCAATTTTCTTGTCCGGGGTTATGTAATCCTTCGAATGGAAAGCGTGCAACAACAAATACTCATTTCTTTCTGCTCTACCGCCTAACAATGTCCTCGATAAGATATTACCTACGTTCGAGGGTTAATAATAATTACATTGTACATGTAAAATGCTACATTTAAAATGTTAATTGAAAGGAAGATACTAAAGCGAATAATACCAGCTAGACAGGTGATTTGAAGTGCGAGCGGTATAACGTTGAGATCCATTACTATAGTTATAATGAATTTCGCTTCTTTTAACGTCGCGTTTATTAGATTCAGAACTTTGTCTGCTGTATTGTAGAACAATGGAGTCTCCGCCGGCGTAATCTCTTTACATTCATGTTCTTTCGTCTTTAACACCTATCACAAATATTTGTCAAATTTATGCGATATTGATTTGTAAATGGAGAACAATATGGTACTTGTAATGTAT